GCTATGCAAAGTTCCCATGTGCCCTGCCTGCACCACGGTAACGAGTGGAGGCGCCAGGCAAGGTCCCAGGGAGCCAGGCAAGGCCCCAGGGAGCCAGGCAGGGTCCCAGGGAGCCAGGACGGCAGGGTCCCAGGTGGGGCCCAGCGCCTGCTCAGGCCATGCCGATGGCCTGATATTTTATCAACATGTGTCCGGCTGATGCACAGCTAGGCTGCGGGCAGGCTGTGGCCAGGCCGCGGCCCGTCCCCAAAAAATGTTGCAAGGTGCATCTCGAGGCAGTGCTGGGCATATTGTTACTGACCACCCAGTATGCTGTTCTCTGGCCCGGGGTCACGACAAAATGCTGGCAGGGAAAGGGAAATTCCCGAGAGGTGTTTCGGAGTCCTCAAAGTATCAAATTAGCACTTGGAACAATGTAATCATACCAACGTGGAGGATCTGTATTATGACAAACATTGGGGATAGGGACTCCTTGGTAAAAATCTGCACCAGGAACATATTTTGTCATGCGCGAAGGTTGGCTGGATAGGGGGAATGTCTCATCATATGGAACGATATGGGGGACGCGTCCCCCACGTCCCCCTCGGAGGCGCCGCCCCTGCCCACCGCTTTTGATGATAAGTGGGATTCGCGAATCACATCTGTACCCCCCACAACCGAGTGATGCTTGTGGGCTCCACATCCACGCATGAGTCATACACGTAAAGCCTCTGCACAGTGCGCTTTCCAGCGGGATGTGCAGTGCGAATGACAAGGCACCAACGCTCTTACAGGCCCGCCATCTGCCTCGAGAGTAGATGGACCAAAGACAACACAGCTGGACGTCCTCAGCGACCCGCCGGCGAGGCCGCCGATGTTCGCGCCAGGCACGCTCGCCTCGACCAAGCCGGAGGCGTTGACGGCTTGAGAGAACAGTCGACAGCCGGCGCCACCGCTGCTGAAGAGCACGCCACGCCGCCGGCCGGCTGCCGCCGCGCACTGGCACCGGCTGAGGTCAGGTCGCGCCCACACAAGGTCACGTCCCTCCACAGACGCCAGGCACCAGAGCAGGGTGCTGGCAGTCGTCTGCAGACGACGGAGCTCCGGATCTGGGCTCGGCTGCGGCGCCGACTTCCGGCTGTAAGTCGGCTCTGCATACGTCCCCGGCTGAAGTGGGGTCTCTGAATCGTTCTCAGGCTCTGATTCCGATCCCGGCTGTAATGAGGACTCTGAGGTGTACTTCGGCTCCATTTCCGATCCTGCCGACAGTGAAGAGTCTGAGCCCGACTCAGACCCCGGCTGTAGTGAAGGCTCTGAGTCCGATTTTGATCCTGGCTCTGGTGTGGACGCTTCGGGATATCTGGGCCTCGCTTCTGATTTTGGTGGAAGTGGGGACTCTGAGCTTGATTCTGATACCGGCTGTAATGAGGACTCTGAGGTGTACTTCGGCTCCGCTTCCGATCCTACAGGTAGTGAAGACTCTGAGCCTGATTCAGGTTCCGGCTGTAATGTGGACTCTGAGGTGTACTTCGGCTCCACTTCCGATCCTGCCGACAGTGACGACTCTGAGCCCGATTCAGGCGATGGCTGTAATGAGGACTCTGAGGTATATCTCGGCTTCGCTTCCTCTGTTGGCTGCAGTGAGGACTCTGAACCTGATGCTGATCCCGGCTGTAGTGTGGACGCTAAGCTGTACCCTGGCTCTGCCTTCGATCCTGGCTGCAATGAGGACTCTGAGGTGTATCCGGGCTCCGCTTCCGATCCTGGCTCCAGTGAGGACTCTGAGCCCGATTCAGATCCTGCCTGTAATGGGGACTCTGAGGTGTACCCAAGGTCCGCTTCGGATCCTGGCTGTGGTGCGGACTCTGAGTTCGATTCTGATCCCGGCTGTGGTGAGGACGCTGCGGTATATCCGGGCCTTGCTTCTGATTTTGGTGGTAGTGGGGACTCTGAGCTCGATTCACGTCCTGGCTGTAATGTGGACTCTGAGGTGTACTTCGGCTCCACTCCCGATCCTGCCGGTACTGAAGACTCTGAGCCCGATTCAGACCCCGGCTGTAATGAGGACTCTGAGATGTACTTCGGCTCCATTTCCGATCCTGCCGGTAGTGAAGACTCTGAGCCCAAATCAGACCCTGGCTGTAATGTGGAATCTGAGATGTACTTCGGCTCTACCTCCGATCCTGCCGACAGTGAAGACTCTGAACCCGATTCTGATCCCGGCTCTGGTGTGGACGCTTCGGTGTATATGGGCCTCGCTTCTGATTTTGGTGGTAGTGGAGACTCTGAGCTTGATTCAGGTCCCGGCTGTGATGTGGACTCTGAGGTGTACTTCGGCTCCGCCTCTGATCCTGCAGGTCGTGAAGGCTCTGAGGCCGATCCCGATCCCGTCTGTAGTGAGGACTCTGAGGTGTACTTCGGCTCCACTTCCGATCCTGCCGACAGTGACGACTCTGAGCCATATTCAGGTGATGGCTGTAATGAGGACTCTGAGGTGTACTTCGGCTCCACTTCCGATCCTGCCGACAGTGACGACTCTGAGCCATATTCAGGTGATGGCTGTAATGAGGACTCTGAGGTAAACCTGGGCTTCGCTTCCTCTGTTGTCTGTAGTGAGGACTCTGAACCCAATGCTGGTCCCGGCTGTGGTGTGGACGCTACGGTGTATCTTGGCCTTGCTTCTGATTTTGGTGGTAGTGGGGACTCTGAGCTTGATTCAGGTCCCGGCTGTAATGTGGACTCTGAGGTGTACCTGGTCTCCTCTTCTAACCCCGGCTGTAATGGGGACCCTGAGGTGTACTTCAGCTGCACTTCCGATAATGCAGGTAGTGACGATTCTGAGACCGATTGAGGCCCCGGCTGTAATGAGGACTCTGGGGTGTACCTCGGCTCCACTTCCGATCCTGCCAATAGTGAAGACTCTGATCCCGATTCAGATCCCGGCTGTGATGAGGACTCAGAGGTGTACTTCGGCTCCACTTCCGATCCTGCCGGGAGTGAAGACTCTGAGCCCGATTCAGACCCCGGCTGTAATGAGGACTCTGAGGTATACTTCGGCTCCACTTCCGATCCTGCCGACAGTGACGACTCTGAGCCATATTCAGACGACGGCTTTAATGAGGACTCTGAGGTAAACCTGGGCTTCGCTTCCTCTGTTGGCTGCAGTGAGGACTCTGAACCTGATGCTGATCCCGGCTGTAGTGTGGACGCTGAGCTGTACCCCGGCTCTGCTTTCGATTCTGACTGCAATGAGGGCTCTGAGGTGTATCCGGGCTCTGCTTCCGATCCTGGCTCCAGTGGGGACTCTGAGCCCGATTCTGATCCCGGCTGTAGCGTGTACGCGGAGCTGTACCCAGGCTCCGTTTCTAATCTCAGGCGTAATGTGGTCTCTGAGGTGTACCTGATCTCCGCTTCTGACCCCGTTTGTAATGTGGACTCTGAGGTGTACTTCGGCTGTTTTTCCGATCCTGCCGATAGTGAAGGCTCTGAGACTGATTCAAAACTCAGCTCTAATGAGGACTCTGAGGTGTACTTCGGCTCCATTTCCGGTTCTGCCGATAGTGATGACTCTGAGTCAGATTCAGACCCCGGCTGTAATGGGGACTCTGAGTTGTACTTTGGCTCCACTTCCGATCCTGCCGGTAGTGAAGACTCTGAGCCCGAACTTGACCCCGGCTGTAATGAGGACTTTGGGGTGTATTTCGGCTCCACTCCTGATCCTGCCGTTAGTGATGACTCTGAGCCCGATTCTGACCACGGCTGTAATGAGGACTTTGAGGTGTACTTCGGCTGCACTTCCGATCCTGCCGGGAGTGAAGACTCTGAGCCGGATTCAGAACCCGGCTGTAATGGGGACTCTGAGGTGCATTTCGGCTCCACTTCCGATCCAGCCGATAGTGAAGACTCTGAACCCGATTCTGATCCCGGCTCTGGTGTGGACGCTTCGGTGTATCTGGGCTTTGCTTCCGATTTTGGTGGTAGTGGGGACTCTGAGCTTGATTCGGGTCCCGGCTGTAATGTGGACTCTGAGGTGTACTTCGGCTCCACTTCCGATCCTGCAGGTAGTGACGATTCTGAGACCGATTCAGACCCCGGCTGCAATGGGGGCTCTGAGGTGTACTTCGGCTCCACTTCCGATCCTGCCGATAATGAAGACCCTGGGCCGGATTCAGACCCTGGCTGTAATGGGGACTCTGAGGTATATCCGGGGTCCGCTTCGGATCCTGGCTGTGGTGTGGACTCTGAACCCGATTCTGATCCTGGCTGTAATGGGGACTCTGAGGTATACTTCGGCTCCGCTTCTGATCCTGCAAGTAGTAAAGACTTTGAGCTCGACCCTGATCCCTGCTGTAGTGAGAACTCTGAATTCGATTCTGATCCCGGCTGTGGTGAGGACGCTGCGGTGTATCCGGGCCTTGCTTCTGATTTTGGTGGTAGTGGGGACTCTGAGCCCGATTCAGATCCCGGCTGTAATAAGAACTCTGAGGTGTACTTCGGGTCCACTTCCGATCCTGCAGGTAGTGAAGACTCTGAGCCCGTTTCAGGCGATGGCTGTAATGAGGACTCTGAGGTGTACTTCGGTGTCTGAGGTGTACCTTCATCCATTTCCGATCCTGCCGATAGTGATGACTCTGAGCCCGAGTCAGACCCCGGCTGTAATGAGGACTCTGAGGTGTACTTCGGCTCCATTTTCGATCCTGCCGTTAGTGAAGATTCTGAGCCCAAATCAGACCCCGGCTGTAATGAGGACTTTGAGGTGTACGTCACCTCCACCTCCGATCCTGCCGACAGTGAAGACTCTGAGCCCGATTCGGACCCCGGCTGTAGTGAGGACTCTGAGTCCGATTCTGATCCCGGCTGTGGTGTGGACGCTGGGGTGTATCCGCGCCTCGCTTCTGATTTTAGTGGTAGTGGGTACTCTGAGCCTGATTCAGGTCTCGGCTGTGATGTGGACTCTGAGGTGTACTTCGGCTCCACTTGCGATCCTGCCGACAGTGACGACTCTGAGCCATATTCAGACGATGGCTGTAATGAGAACTCTGAGGTAAACCTGGGCTTCGCTTCCTCTGTTGGCTGCAGTGAGGACTCTGAACCTGATGCTGATCCCGGCTGTAGTGTGGACCCTGAACCTGATGCTGATCCCGGCTGTGGTGTGGACGCTGAGCTGTACCCTGGCTCTGCTTTCGATTCTGGCTGCAATGAGGACTCTGAGGTGTATCCGGGCTTCGCTTCCGATCCTGGCTCCAGTGAGGACTCTGAGGCCGACTCAGACCCTGGCTGTAATGGGGACTCTGAGGTATACCCGAGGTCCGTTTCGGATCCTGGCTGTGGTGGGGACTCTGAGCCCGATTCTGATCCCGGATGTAATGGGGACTCTGAGGTGTACTTCCGCTCCATTTCCGATCCTGCCGGTAGTGAAGACTCTGAGCCCAAATCAGATCCCGGCTGTAATGAGGACTTTGAGGTGTACTTCGGCTCCGCTTCCGATCCTGCCGACAGTGAAGAGTCTGAGCCCGACTCAGACCCCGGCTGTAGTGAAGGCTCTGAGTTCGATTCTGATCCCGGCTCTGGTGTGGACGCTTTGGTGTATATGGGCCTCGCTTCTGATTTTGGTGGTAGTGGGGACTCTGAGCTTGATTCGGGTCCCGGCTGTGATGTGGACTCTGAGGTGTACTTCGGCTCTGCTTCTGAACCTGCAGGTCGTGAAGACTCTGAGGCCGATCCTGATTCCGTCTGTAGTGAGGACTCTGAGGTGTACTTCGGCTCCACTTCCGATCCTGCCGGCAGTGACGACTCTGAGCCATATTCAGGTGATGGCTGTAATGAGGACTCTGAGGTAAACCTGGACTTCGCTTCCTCTGTTGGCTGTAGTGAGGACTCTGAACCTGATTCTGATCCCGGCTGTAGTGTGGACGCTGAGCTGTACCCTGGCTCTGCTTTCGATCCTGGCTTCAGTGAGGACTCTGAGCCCGATTCTGATCCCGGCTGTAGCGTGGACGTGGAGCTGTACCCAGTCTCCGTTTCTAATCCCAGCCGTAAAGTGGACTCTGAGGTGTACCTGATCTCCGCTTCTGACCCCGATTGCAATGTGGACTCTGAGGTGTACTTCGGCTCCACTTCCGATTCTGCCTGTACTGAAGACTCTGAGCCCGATTCAGACTCCGGCTGTAATGAGGACTCTGAGGTGTATTTCGGGTCCACTTTCGATCCTTCCGATACTGAAGATTCTGAGTCAGATTCTGATCCCGGCTGTAATGAGGACTTTGAGGTGTACTTCGGCTGCACTTCCGATCCTGCCGATAGTGAAGACTCTGAGTCAGATTCAGACCCCGGCTGTAATGAGGAGTCTGAGGTGTACTCCGACTCCACTTTCGATCCTTCCGATACTGAAAACCCTGAGTCAGATTCTGATCCCGGCTGTAATGAGGACTCCGAGGTGTACTTCGGCTCCATTTCCGATCCTGCCCATAGTGATGACTCTGAGCCCGATTCTGACCCCGGCTGTAATGAGGAGTCTGAGGTGTACTTCGTCTCCGCTTCTGATCCTGCAGGTAGTGAAGACTCTGAGCCCGATTCAGACCCCGGCTGTGATGGAGATCCTGAGGTGTACCCGGGCTCCGATTCTGATCCCAGTTGTAGTGGTGACTCTGAGTCCGATTCTGATCCTGGCTGCAGTGGGGGTTCTGAGCTGTAAGCAGGTTCCGTCTCAGGCTCCAGGTGCGGTGATGGACTGGTATGCTTCGCACTTAAATTAAGAGTCGTTTCCTTCTGAGCAACGGTCTCCTTCTCCATGTCTTTTTCTGTTCCCAGCTCAGTACCGACCACCTGGCTCACATCTGGTCTTGGCTCGGGCTCCGTAACTGGCTGTTTGCCCTCGCCCGGCCCTGGTGCTACAGTCGTCCTTCCAGCCCCTGGCTCCGGCTCCGGATCAGTGAAACCTAGCTGCCCTGAACCTGCGCCAGGAGTCGTCGATCTCTCTTGTCCTGGCAGCGACTCGGTCGCAGGCTCTGGCTCTGGTTCCGTCTGATATGTCGGTTTCAACTCAGGTGCCGAATTTGGCTCTGGTTTGGCCACACACTCTGACTCTGGTTCGGCCACACACTCTGACTCTGGCTCTGACTCCGCCTCATCTTCGAGCTCAGACACAGCTACAAACTCCGACTCCGTCCCGTGCGCTGTCTCCCACTGTGCTTCCGACTCTGCCTCAGACTCCAGGTCTTGGTCATCCACATCGTCTGACTCGGCCTCAGGCTCCAGCTCATGGTCAGCCACATGTTCTACCTCTGCCTCTTCCGCTGGCTCCAGCTCTGACACGAGCACAACCTTCAGTTCTCTCCCGTCCATTGGCTCCGGCTCGGGTTTCCCCACAAACTGCATCTCTCCCCCGTTTATTGGCTCTGGCTCTGGCCCCCAAACAAACACTGGCTCGACTGCAAACCTTTTCTCCGGTGCTGATTTTGGCTCTACTTCCAACTCTGACTCTAGCTGAGCCACAGATATTTGCTCTGGCCTGGCCTCTGGTTCTGTTTCTGTCACGGCCTCATGCTCTGGCCCAGTCACGGCCACTAGCTCTGGCTCAGCCACGGCCTCTAGCTCCGGCTCAGTCACGACCTCTAGCTCTGGCTCAGCCACGACCTCTAGCTCTGGCTCAGCCACGGCCTTTAGCTCCGGCTCAGTCACGACCTCTAGCTCTGGCTCAGCCACGACCTCTAGCTCTGGCTCAGCCACGACCTCTAGCTCTGGCGCAGTCACGGCCTCTAGCTCTGGCTCAGCCACGACCTCTAGCTCTGGCTCAGTCACGGCCTCTAGCTCTGGCTCAGTCACGGCCTCTAGCTCTGGCTCGGCCGCGGAGAATGCCACCGGCCGCCACCCTGCACCCCACTCTGGCCCCAAAGCCGGCTTCGTCATGGGATGCAACCGCGGCACCGGCAGCGGCTTCTTCGCTAGACCAGCCCGTCGCATGATCTGCCACTCCCTTTTCCGTCTCGACGCGCAGCCGTCAGTCAGCACCAGGAACAACACCAGCACCAGCACCAGCGCCGCCGCTGCCAGCACCCTCAGACGCATTGCGGCTGAGCCTGTGCCTACCAGCGAAGACTGCAGAGCACTGCCCCACCCCGATGCGTGCCAGCTGCCGCCTTCGCATCGACCCGCTTTATACACGGCTGTTGAGTGGCACGGAATACACTCCCTCCTCCCGCTTCAAAGGCGCCTTGGACGGCGGCGGTCTGGTGTCACGCAGCTCCTGTCGGCTCAGGTCATTGCTTGGATGGATATGGTGCGCGGATGTGTTTGCAAATGCGCTGTTTACCGGACACCCCAGGCGACAGCGAAGAGCAAATGAGTGTATGTCCTGTCTCGGGTGAGTTTGAACAGGACATTGCCTTCCTTTTCAAAGAAGCTGATGCAATCAAAAGCTGCCGCTCCGCCCTTGGAGACGTCTTGCGACCTTGCCAGCCGGCCAGTAATTATTTATGAATGCGCTAAGCGGAGGCTGCAATCCTTGGCTGCATCCAGCACTTTCGAGAACGGGACCGTCGTGATTCCAACCGAGGTGTCAGAAGAGCGTGCCTGGAGACGCTCCGTCGCCGCTGCGCGGCTAGAGTCGGTCGTGTTGGCTGTCGTCAGGGCGTCAGTTCCGGTGCTGTCAGCCGAGATTTCCGTCTGGAAACCGGAGCGGGTCTCTGCCGCGGCCGGGGCAGCCACCTGACCGTGCGCTGCGATGGCGGGGGTCCGGGGTTCGTGACCTGTGGGGGTTAGGTCAACAGCTGGTCATGGCCGGCAGGCAGTCATGACCGACAATTCGTCGACTACCGTGGGAGGTACCATTCCGACTGGAGCTTCTGACTGACTCGATATCTACCGTCCCGTTATGAGGTTTCTGCCAGAGTCGCGATGTCCCTCCGCCATACGTCGAGAGGCGGAGGCCGCGCGCGAAGGCGCCCAAGCCGCCGCCTCGCTGGCGAGCCGGGGACGTTTCCTCTTGCTCCGATGCAGGCGGAGCGAGACGACGGAGCTGCACGTAAACATGCCGGCCCGGAGCATGGCGACGTGCCAGCGGCGCAGCTGACTAACGAATGCCGTGCGTCAGCCGCCGTCCGAACACCGGCGTCACCGCACCGCACCGTCGGAGAGGGCCGAAGGCGCTCGCGGTCCACGGCCGGCTCAGGCGCCTGCAGCAGCCGCAGCTCAGTGGGTGAACGGATGGGAGTCGGTCGAGTTACGGGGCGAAGGGCGAGCTCGAGCTCCCACGCGGCTATGGACCGTTCCACTCGGAGATAGTGCCCGGAGGCGTGGCCTCAGCGTGACGTGGATCATGTATTGATCCTGATCCTGATCATAATCATGATCCACATATTGATTGGCGACTTTTTCCTGCGTCTGCAATGTACGGAGCCTTGGCTGGTTGCTGGTTTTCGGTGTTTGTAACCACGAGCATGGCTACCTCACCATGATCTTATCCACGTAAGTTGTTCGGTGCATTAGCGAGGAACATTATTTACATCGATAAGGCAGTAGTCTTAACTATATTCCTCGGAAAAACCAGGAGAATGGAGGTATAGTTAGGTTGATGATTCGGCAACATGCCTTTATCGAAAAAATCGGCTTCGACTTTTGCTATTGTTTCGATAAATGCATGTTGCCGAAATATCAACCTCCTATATCTCCTAACTACATCTCCATTCACCTGTTTTTTTCCGAGCAATAAGACGAATACTACTGTCTTTTCTATGTGACCTAATCTGTTCAAACCGGCGGGCCACCACGACTTGTTTAGATTTCCTCACACCGGTGCCGCCGAGCAGCACGACCTGGTCATTTCTCAAGTTCCCAAATATTTTAGCAGCTGTACTAGGTCATGGCGAGAAAAATGTTATCATGGTCTTTCATGAGCGAAACGGCACACCGTCACAATCACTGTTATAATCCCTGTTGTAATCCCTGTCATAGTCCCTGTTATAATCCCTGAACCTGTTCTAATCGTACGCTTGACTTAACACGTCAGTATCTGCTGCCCAAGGCTACGGGGCTTATGATAAATGAAGCCACTGTTGTGACGTGATTCAGATATGATTACTGGGCTATATTCGTGCGGAGATCTGTAAAAGGTGTTGTGAAGTGGCCTATGATTGTGTTATGGTGAGCCAGCGCCGGGCGGACTGGGTTGAATCAAAACCGATAAAAGATATAATAATGACAGTTCTGTATGCTCGCATGCGTTTGATACCGTATCGTGTCGTGCGTACCGAGTTGGACAGCTGTAACTAATGGTGTTTCTGACATAGCTGAATAACGCGAGTTAGTTCAATGTGAATTGGAACGAATGCCCAATGCTCGTATCGCGGAGCAAGGGACAAAATGAATCAATGTATCTCGCTTTGCAGTTTCTGCAGTCCTGAAGAAGCTGCGAGTCAAAACATATCGAATCGCTTCTCTGGCCATTTTTCCATAGGTGAGTTTGATATATGAGTTTATATATGAGTTATATATTTCATATGTGAGTTTTCTATATGTATTTATATATATATATATATATATATATATATATATATGCCTATTTACTCAGACAAATGGAACAATGTGATCTCCAATTTGCGGCACAAGAATTAATATCTGCTTCGGGCGGCGGTGCCTACATGGAACATACTGATAACTATGCGCAGAAGTGAGTACGCCGGTGAACTGAAGACAACGTCGACTCCCGACGAGTGCACCTCGTCGTCAGAGCCTGCTCGATTATCGGGGGTCACTTTTTCAATCAGCAATGCCTGACGGAATTACCAGCCCAGAGTCGTCAGCGGGTGAGGTGGACCACCGCGATGTGCGCGGGTCAGGAGGTGCGACCGAGCCGACTTGCTATCTGGGCGGGCTCCCACCGGCGGGGTCAAGTGTCGGCACCTGTCCAATCAGTGGAGAGACAGGGAGCTCGTGCTTTGTCAGAGCGGCGGTCCTGGCGCGGTCTTTGTCAGAGCTGAGCGGCAGCCGACCGGCGATGGCTGGGATGTATTCCCTGCGACGGGCACCGCACGCCGGGGTTGGGACGGAGACGGGGAGACAAGCGCAGTGCACTTATTAATTCCCGCGCAGCGCGGCAGGGAGACCTTAATCAAGCGTTTGGGCCTTCGGCATGCAAGGGATGTGTTGGAAATCACTTTTAAATGGAAATGATGAAGCGTTTTCTTGCAAGAGTTTGGCCGTGGTGGAGCCCGATTCAGTCAGTTACGTTTCTGCACGGTGCGGGATCCTGCAAACTTACATGACAAATCAAGATTTTATCAGACCTGATACGGCTCTCCACTGGATTCGCCCAACCATTTGGGAAAATCGCGACTTATCGCGGATGCGTATTTACTGCTCGACATAAACACTTGTTTGACACGGACAGGCATCGCCTGTCCCAATGAAAATAAAGTCAGTGGCGTTGATTTTGTCCTATTAATCTTCCATCTGCTTTGCGCAGCAGGATATTGAGTTGAAGGACAAAGAGGTGTACCTATATGAATAGCAAAAGAGAAAATGGAAGCGCAACATACTAGAACTAAAACAAAAGCGACGCATGATACAAAACGTATGCCTTACAAGGTTTGTGAGGAGCGAAATGATGGCGGACAGTGTTACCCTCACACCATCAAACGAAGACGGATGGTGTTCACACCTAGATGACATGGAAACTTGTGCAAATGGGACCAAATACGTTTGGGGATCCAGGTATTTCGGTTTTATGAATGAATTGGTACGTTTATAAAGCATGGAAGGTTGGCAGGCAGGCAGGACTACTGATGAACCGCTCGCACCAGTTCACGAATCACGTTGTTTGAAAGCTGACTCAATTTGAACCCGTCCAAATCGAGCCCGTTTTCAAACAAACAACTCGAACCAGCTTGCGAAAAACAAAAACAAGCAAGTCACACAAAATTGTCAATCGAATCGAGCCGGTTTGTCGGGTCTGCAAAGTTGATCTATTGCGGTCAACAAATCGTTAAAACCAATCTTTAAAAAAGGCGGCATTGTACTTTTCCCAGTCGATTACTGGTTATTATAAATTTGAAAGTGCCAAGCTCGCCAAGCGTTTCTGGGTTCGTGGACTCGCTAAGTGATTACAAATCTTATATCATTCACATACATCATTCAAATGCCTTCACGTCCGCAGTTTCCCCCACTGCTAAATCTGGCGCCAATCCTTAGAGTCCTCCCGAAACGGCGAATCTGTCGTACGTCTTTCAATATGCATGCCCACTCACGCACGTTGACCCACACTTTTGTCACACTTCGGCAGGCTCTCTCCCATGCCCAGCGGTGTTTGTGCCGCGCCTGTGTGACCGCGGATCGCCAGGATCTGGCTCTGGTGTCAAACCGTTAGCAGCTTTAAAGATAAAAGCTCTTCAGCAGAGAGCGTGACACGCTGGGCCGGGCCCGGCTGCCGAAGCCACATTTCCGACTACTTGACGTTAAGACGGGCCCAGTCAGCGACCTTGCTCGTTATCAAACAGAAAAAGAGGACTTATAATAGCATTTGGATGCGTGCCAAGGAAGCAGCAGACCGGAAGGTTGCGGGCTCGAACGGCACGTCAGTCCCCGCGTGCACGTGCCAACGATTGGCACGTGCTGCCGAAGCCTCCGTCCTGCACCGCCCCCCCCCCCCCGAATCTCCCCCCCTCGCAGTCGTGTTGGCATCTGCGGAGTGGCTGACACCGTCCGGGGCGGGCTACGAGCAGTCGCCAAGATGAGCCAGGTATTGCAATGTTCGCGAATTCTGATGGAGAATGTCTCCTTTGTTGTGGTTCTAATTGGATCAGCTGGTTCAGCATTAAGATGCCCTTTCTATGCCGTTTGGCATCCATGAATATGTTTGTCATTTATTGAACGCCTTTCTTTCAGATGTGACAATGGCAGTTTCAAGTACAAAACAGGCATTTCTGGTACATTC